GTGTGACAGATTGCTTCCGCACATGCGTCTACTATCATAGCTATGTATAGATGCCTTATTCGACTGCTCCAGATACGTTGACGCATTCGCCATTTTGGAACGTATCGCGGCCCATAGAAGCAGTCACTAATGAGGCTTCTACTTATATATTTCCATGTCTACTATGCACTCAGGACAGTTGGACATAGCGGTGGATCAGAGGTAAAAAAAAATATGATAAATACTGTTCAGTTTCTTGCACAGACAGATTGTTTTGTGTCTTAAGACCTCAATGTATCGTCACGAGCCGCAGGGTTTAATTTAGTTTTGTCTGTGTATGTTTTGTTTTACTCTCAAAGCCGTGGAGCCTATTTACTGCCATTATATGACTGACAGACTGCAACGGTTTGAGTTAAAAATCTTCGTTTGTGTTCTACTGAAGAAACAAAGTCACCTACATCTTGGATGCCCTGGGGGTAAGCAGATAAACATTAAATTTTCATTTTTGGGTGAACTATCCTTTTAAATCAGAATATGCTATTATTTTGTATTAATTGTTTTAGTGCAAGAGGGATGGCTCTACACAGTATTATATTCTCTAAAGGAACATTTTATCGCAAATTTCTCCATGAATGCATTATATTGAATTAACTGACCATCTTCATCGATCAAATCGACAACATCAATATATTTTTTTTAAATAACATCTTCCTATTTATTGTAATAATTATATTATTCCACAAGGTGGCTCCATGTGGTGTAAAGTTGTGGGTAAATATAATTTTCCAGTATTGCAATATCTGTTTGTGGAAATTTGAAAGCTTAACAGGCAATTTAGAAATCTCAAAATCGCATTTCAACAAAAATTCTAACCCACCAACTCTTTTAAATATAGCCTTTGGTATATGAAACCAAATTGAATTTGGCTGTGTTAAATAAGATTTAATCCAGATCAATGATCAGGCAAGTTTAATATATGTATATTTGGAAATCTGATCTTACTATCTGGGCTTTTGCTTACAGTTTTTAGTTTTTTTACTGCCATAATATTTGGGGGAGGGGCACAACAATACATTTCTGCTTGGGGCACCCATTGGGCAAGCGGCCCTGTGTAGTTGCAATAAACGCGTTAAGAATCCGTACACCTGCAGCAACATAGGACTTTTATTCTGCTGCGTGGAACTGAAGAAAAACTGATGGCGGCACGATTAGATCTTCGGCTGACCAATCAGCAGAAAGGGGCATTTCATTGCCACCCACGTGTAGAAATCGAATATTCATGTTTATTCATTTTTCTACCCCTGAACGAAAAACAAAAAATTAAGCAGAATTCTTGTTTTTCGTTTTTTTGGAAAAAAAATTGTTTAAATTAAAATTCTACTTTTTTTAAATTTTAAATCAAAAAACGAATGAACAAATGATACACGGATTCATTAAGCCCTTGTCTAGCAATCCCAATGCTCCAAATAGTAATTATCTTTATCTGTACGTTTTCTGAGATGAGTACCTTTTCTACACTCATTTCTCGTGCTGACTGTCATCCGAAGCACCCGCATTAAGTGAACGTTTGGGGAACTGTTGGGGAAAAGTCCATGGGAAAAACATCTGATGTGTAACATTATATTAGACCCGTGCATTACAGTAGGTCTTAATAGGCCATCTGTCTCATTAATGTTAATCTAACAATAAAAGAAAAGAGGGAATCACTCGCTGCTCTTGATTGAACTACTTTTGTAGTTCCAATATTCAATTTATTTGTAATGAACACACTAAAGGGATTTTTACATTTGATTATTTGCTTTTCCTCAATGCTTTTGTTTAGATGTAAAATGAAAAAGGTAATGCACTGTTTTTTTCTTATATTTGTTCCACTGTTTGCTTGTTTTTTTTTTTTGCATCTGTTTTTATTTATAATAACAGATAAAATAAAAAAAATCCAGGTTGATGACGCAAGACACAAAGCCAAAGTAGCATGTTAAACTCAAAAAGAGCCAGTTCAACCAATTGTCGAAGTTTGCAGAGGATTACCAAGGATTCTGACGAGTGAGTTGCTGACATTATGCATGTGTGTATCCCCAGGGACTTAAATGAGCCTGACGCAAAATTTAGTTTCTTTAATTAAAAAAAAAAAAAAAAACATACTGGAAATATGCTTATGACTAGTTTTATTAAATGGGACTACATTTTTATTAAAACATGGAAAAATCTGAAATTTACAATTAACATTTACTATTAATAATATTATAAATTAGGCCAATTCAATGAGTTTACAATACTAGTATATTCTTTCTATATACTTAAGACATGCCGAATATATCCGTGATTGTGCATCAATGTCTGTAATGTGCCCTGTAGGTGAGAAACTTTTGGGAACCTTTTCCAGGATGCAAGCTACTCAATATTGGTCAGTCGTATCCAACATCAAGGGTCAGCGAATGAAACCACAGATATCATTAACTTGAATGAAAGGCAACAATCAACAATATGCATTCACACACATAACTTTACTTGAATGTTTCTTGATATAACATGACACTGAGTTGTTTGAAAAGAAAGGCATAGTGACATTAATGCATGATGACTTAAGGAACCGATTCATTGTTTTTTTTTTAACTGGTTCATTGAACCAAACTGTCCGAAAGAACCAGTTCGCCGAAATGTATCGGACTTTGCATCACTAACAAGAAAACAACACTGAGGGGTTCGTTCTTCGTACATCACTTAATATATCCAAGATCATTTGATAGATGCCAGATCTTTTAATCCTGATAACCTGATGGCTAAATTTGTTCTTCAAATCAAAAAAAAAGTATTTGATTGAACTATCTGGATTAAGTTGTCTGAATTTACTCTGTGTTGACATGTTCATTGGGAAGGGCAGATCGATACTCGAAACCATGATCAGCAATGCAGCTATTGGCTGGAGGCGAGACAGCAATGTAATGACATCATATAATTAAGATCAAGGAAACAGCCTAGCGCACAAAATGACAAAAGTTCTAATACATAAAATGTGTAACCATGCATTTAAGCAATTCCAAATAATTTTTCACCATTTCTAGAATTTGTAGCGGTTTTGCATTTTTTGATGTCAAGAGTATTGTAATTAGCAATTAATTTAATTTTGAAGTGGATTTGTTATAAGTGACAGCATTAAAGTTTCTTAATCCATATGATCCATTTTAAGATAAAACTGACTGCCTTTAAATTAATTGTGCATCATAAAAGCATTTTGAGATTTGAGAAGTGAGTCTCTGCATCTCCTGCGATGCATCAAAGTCACCCGCATAAAAGCTTAGCTAACAGTTGAAATTAATGCATGACTCAGACAAACTGTACATAATATGACTGCAATAAAATGAGATAATTATTCCTTCATGAATAAATCTCTCAATGAGTAAAACTGGTCATGTCTATTATTATAGATTACACAACATTTTAATTATTTTCAAAATAATGTTAAAATTAAATTTTTTAAAATTATTTCTTACACTTGTAAGAAAATAGCAGTGGCTGGGACAGACTTTCAGTATCACCTTCACTTAAAATTATACAATCTAATCCCGTTTACATGGAATAAGCCTGCTTCCATGCAGGTTTGAGCTAATGGACCTGCTGCAATGACAGCAACTCCAGGATGAGCTTTGAAGAACTTAATCCTGGATCATGTCAAATCGCCAACAATAAAATCCAGATAACTGAACAATCCACATACGAAGAACGGACCCCAGGTCAAAATACAGCAATGATAAACTGTGGAAATAAATACTCTAAGCTTAGCTAAGGCTAAGAGTGGAGGATAGGATGATTGCTGCAATATTGTTATCAACATGGAAGGTTTTACATTTTAAAACTCCATTGGATCAGTATAATCAATTACAATCTAATGTTCAGTCACATGAATATGCTACTAGACGAGCAACAGAGGGTAGATTTCTACTCCTTAATGCTAAAACAAATTTTCTTAAACGTACAGTAACATTTAGGGCAATGAAATCATGGAATCTTTTACCATTGTCAATTAGGATAACACGAAAAATTTATTTTAAAGGGGTCATATGATGCGATTTTAAAAATCCACCGTGGACGAAGCGGAGTCCAGCCCGGGGTCGTCACATGTTGTTGCTGCAAGCCCGTCGGCCGCTCCTTTGTCGAATTCGCCGGCCGCGCCGTTCTCAAGCCCACCGTGTGTGACGCTGTGTTTCTCGTTGTGAAAGCGAAACTACTTTGTTTGGTCTTCCAAAAGAGAACACGACTAGAAATCAGTGGTTAAGTTGTATCTACAACACCGTTACAGAACAGTTCAACCCAAATATTCAGATGTGTCCAGCACATTTTATGGAGGACTGTTTCCTGATCCTGGTAGAGTAGACTACAATGCCGGCTGTTCTGACTCACAGACTGTAAGTACGTTTTCATTTGAAGGATTTGCCACTGATGATTCAAACAAGTTTTGAGCAGTGTAGAGTAGCGCTTGTTGTTTGTCATTTCTTCGATCACAAATGCAGACATGGTTTTATGTTTACACGGTGCGATACAACGCAACACGTAAAAAGACAGTATAAGTCATTATAATCCGTAATTATGTCCCCACTGGATGCAACAAATGCCTCGTTTCTAATGGGTTTTACTGTTTTTGTCTCATCGCTCCGGCCGGACAGGGCATCACAGTATAGTAAGGGGCATAACATTTCCGTCACATGCTTGAGGTATTCGGCCAATCACAACGCACTGGATAGCTGGCCAATCAGAGCACACCTTGCTTTTCAGACCGATGAGCTTTGTAAAAATCGACGCGTTTCAGAAAGCCTTTTCCCTCACAGGCTAGAGGCTCAGAATGTTGGTGACATGTTTCTGTCTCTCTCCTTACAGGACCGAGACTCCGAATGAGTGTATCTGCTAGTGTCTCACTGGACGTGCCGGAGACTCAGAACGATTGTATCTGTTAGTGTCTCACCCTTTCAGGACTCAGACTCAGAACAGAGGTTGATCTGCTATTGTCTCACTCTTGCAGGACTCAGAACGGAGGTTGATCTGCTATTGTCTCACCCTTGCGGGACTCAGAACGGAGGTTGATCTGCTATTGTCTCACCCTTGCGGGACTCAGAACAGAGGTTGATCTGCTATTGTCTCACCCTTGCGTGACGGAGGTGTGTCTTTTGGAAGGGTTCCTTTATCTCTATCCGATGAGGAGGAGATTGCAATTTGGCGCTTCTCTGTTTCCATGCTGTGATTGGCTGTTTCCATCAGAGTGGAGGGGGGGACACGGTGTGGCCCACGCCAATCCTTCTTTCCTCCTGTGGAACTTATTTGCATAGTCCAAACACACATTTAGAAAAGTGTCACTAAAGTTCTACCAATGCATTATTCACTTACCAAACCACAACCAGAATACATTTGGCAATGTTACGAACGCATTAAGTCCAAACATGATGGGAAAGATTGAACTGTCATGCATGCATTCATTTGTCCATTAACAGCTGAGTTTGTGTAAGATGTTGCACTACACATAGCTGTCACTGAGAATACTTATTTCTCTGAATAAGTATAAAATGTGTTAATAGTTTGCATCAGTTTAAGGTTTGAAAACATAGTTATGAATGGATTTGGATGGATCTCTCTTTGTTTCACCCACTGCTGTGCTGTTGCACCGGGAGGTCCAAAGGAATTTTTATGGCGATCACAGACCAGAACCTTAGGAACAGGTCTCTGGGTGGGTGAAGGGCAGAAACTGCATTTTGACCAATGACAAGCCCTGTCCTTCCTGGGCTTGGTACCAGTGGTCTTCTTGCCCTCTAAGAGGTGTCTGGCTGTTGTCCTAGCATCTTTATCTGATGATGTTGGACAGTTTGCTTATGTTAGTCCACCGAGATCCAATCAAAATGTACCAAACCTTAGTCCACTATTGTGGTCAGAGAGGGGCCCGCCATAAACTGGTCATTGGAATGTGCTGTCCACTACAAGTACAAGCCTGTTATCTTTACAGAAAATGTACTCCGTTTAAAAGTCAGTCATCTGATTGTACTGTGCATAGTAAATGCGCATTTATGAATTACACAGACGGGAAGCACGGCGCGCTAAAAATAAAGATGTAACTGGTCTCATGGTGCCTTCGCGTGCTATCACAAACTTTATAAGTCCCACTTGTGATTATGAGCTCGACAAATTCAAGCTGTCGACTTCACATTGCTTTCATATGCAATTTTTAACTACCACATTCCTATTTACGATTATTCTGGTAGCACGTGAAGGCAGCATCAGTGAAAACAGGCAGAGACAATGGTAGCTTTAGCTAAATGATCTCTCTTTCAGAAGCAACTTTTGCACAACTCCAGCACTGAACTGACCCTCGTTTGTGAGGCAGTCCGGCGTAAAAGGATTGGCATAAACATATAGGACTTTAGCATTTTTTTTCTGGGACGTTTCATTCGAAAATTAAATGTAATCACTGTGTCCTCAGCGGCTCAGTTGGAGGGAGTCTATGGAGACTCCTATGTTTGTTGGTGCATCTTGAAACACAACATTTGTAATGCCTATTTGGCTCTGACATTGTATCTCTCCAGCAGCTACAGCAAGAAAACTGTAATGGCGGACTTTCTGCTTCTCACTCAGGGTGGTGTCTATGCTAATATGGCAGAGAGCATCACAAATGGGCGGGACTTTTTCCCAACAATGATGTCAACGTAGGTAAAAATAAGGAACCGCTCGTTTGGGAAAAACTGTTTATGATTTATTCGGATTATAACATGAGTGACATGTCAAAGTCTAGACCCTGAATATAAGACGACCGCGTTTTTTCAGATGTATTTCCAAGAAAAAAAACATCGTCTTATATTCAGGTCAATACGGTAATAGTCAGGACATTAGGAAACTAATTCCCCTTTTGTAAATGTCAAGTTGTAGTGCTCGCAATCCAAAACTTCCCCTCTAGTCCAAAAAGATAATATACTGAAATCTAGCTTGTTTTTTTTATAAAAAGGTGAACTTTTAACACAGATTTTGTGGAGACACTCCCCTATTGTTTTGTCACACTCTTTATTTTCACATACACTTTTGCAGTGTCAAGGATAGTAATAGTATATAATTAAAAATTCAGATTTTAACTATTTAGTTTACATTAGTTTAAAAACTCAAAAAAACCTCATTCTGATTCTGATTTATTTAATAAAATCTATAATTTTAAATGTTACAGTGAATTTAGGCATCACAGCATTGCAATGTACAGTACGAAAAATGGATATTCATCTTGAGATTTGATAAAGATGGCATTTTACAGTGTTTTGAAATTATTAAGTGAGAGTTAGTTGATTGCAAAAAGTAACAAATGTGAAAAAAGGGAACTCGGCACACACAATTAAATATCGACAGATACTAATGAATGAAAAATCTCTAATATTGGTCAATAACTAATGCTACCGTGCATCATTTCAGTGCAGATTATTTTGTGATCCTGTTACAAATTAATAAAGCTTTGCAAAGATAAGGTTTACAGAACATTCTATAGGAATGCACTTTTTCAGTAAATGTTCATAACATACCCAAATTATTTGATTTTATTCTTACATTAGCACATTAGAAATCTATACTGACAGTAGTTTAATGTGTAAAATGTATGATATGACTTTTAATTACACAGAAGAACATATGATTGTCTTTGCAGAGGTCAAACTCTGCCACACTACAAAGATTGCAATCATCTCATTAATAAAAAGCATATTACACTCACTCTTTTCAGAATGTTGAGGCGATACTTCAGACGGGAATTCTCCTCCTGCAAATCATCCAGCTGTGAAGACATGAAGTTCAGCTCCTGTGGATCTCTCAGTCTCTCTATTTCATCTTGGAGTAACTTGATTTCTCTTTCCTGTATGCCAAATTAAAACCACAGAAAATCTAAAGTAGGCCAAGGACAAATATCTTAAACATCAGATACTGCATACCTTAGTTACAAGGAAGTACTTCAAAGTTCAAACTAACAATGGCATGAACGTTGTCAATTAAATTTCACTTTGACTTATTATTATACACTTTATCTTTATTATACATATATTATTATATTTGTTTCACTTTGACTGGTGATTACCAGTCCATACACTATCCATAGGCTTATTGCTCAGAGATAGCATACGTTGGGTTCTTCCATTTAAAGAGTTCTGTATCATATTTGATGAAAGAATTTCTAAGGCCTCTAAATTACCAACATGCTCAAAACTTTGTTGAAAAACCTGTTGTTTACATGCCTTCTGCCCTCTGGTTGACCGTTCATACCTATTTAGCAAGTAAAAGTCAAATATGTCCTCAAATACAGACTTGAGGAAAGTGTGAACTCCATGTTATCACTATAACATAAAAAATTAACCATAAAAGCCTGCAGTATCTGATACAAAACATTTGACATATGAGCAAAATGTGTTTTTATTTTTTTGTTTGTTTTCTTTCATATTTTGTCTAAAGGTTCAACGAATTCGCCCACGTCAAAAAAGATGTGAACATAACTTTCATGATGCCAATATAAACATATTGTTCATAAAACCAGATCTCTAAAAAGCTGCATGTACAACAGTCAGTTCAGAAGACATTACAACAGCCTCAGCACAGTATGCCATGATTTATTATTTTTATATTTACAAAAACACCTACAGCCTACACACGTTGTAGTTTTGAGGCGAATTAAACAGAATAACGTTAGTTATTTGTGACTAAGACCTGCATGCGTGCTTCAGTCTCCTACGTCGAAAAACACATGCATATATGAACACAACTTCTAAACTTTTTAACGTTTCAATGCAGAGCTGACCTGTTGCTGAAGTCGTGAAGTATAGTTGGCAACGGAGTCACCCATTTTTGCTGAAAAAGTGAGGTACAAACAGCCTCAAATTCTAAAACCGTACACTTCCCCAACGTGAAGAACTGCTTTAACCGGATTTGACACGTCACTTCCGCTTTCCAGCGACGTCCGAACGGTGAACAAATCTTTCTTGTGAGTTGAATCTTTTAAAAGAATCAGTTGAACAGGTTCATAAAACTGTTCTGAACGATTCGTAGTGCAACAGTCAGGTTCCGGATTTTGAACGATAATTTACAAACGTTTAAAGACAGACCTATTGTGAGCTACAAGGTTGTTAATCTATGGTTTATCTTTCTGTTGAAGTATTGTTTATACCTTTTTAATCGGAGTTAACAGCAGGACTCCTGATGAGAAAGGAAACTACATTACCCATGATGCTGCATAGAAAGCTCCATTAATCAGAAAACCGAAACCAAAAACATTAGTTATGTGAAACCGAGGCTTTCTGAACCGTTTGAGGCTTTCATGAAATTGTGCCGAAAAGGTTCATTACTCGAAGCTTTTAACCCAGTGCGCATTAGCGACATCTGGTGGTCAGACTTGGTTTCTCCACCAAATCTATCAAAACATCGTGGAGCAGATGGGCTGTGGCTAGAACGGAAAAACCGGAAGCTAACCAATTGAATTTTCTACTTATTAGATTGTGTTTTATTAACGTCTACACCTACCCCTTACAATAATGCAAAAATAGTAATTATTGTTGTACAGTGTGAGAAAAATTACGCTATATTGATGTGCGCATGCCCAGTAGTTTTTTCTGTATGCCATCTAGCCTTAAACCACCCCTTGTCCAAATACCCAGTTACCCACACGTGCGGTCTTGGCCATTTGAGAGCGCGTGCGCGCGACAGGAAGTAAGTGCGCAAGACTGTCCCAGGTCTTAAAGGGGTCATATGATGCGATTTAAAATTTTTCCTTTCTCTTTGGAGTGTTACAAGCTCTTGGTGCATAAAGAAGATCTGTAAAGTTGCAAAGACTAAAGTCTCAAATCCAAAGAGATATTCTTTATAAAAGTTAAGAGTCAGCCACGCCTACCTAAAACGGCTCGTTTTAACATGCCCCAACATACCTACTTTGCTCTGTGGGAAGATTTGCATAACGCCGCACAAATGTTCACGCAAAGAAAGAAGGCGTAACTTTTATTCTCGCTGTAGTTTTGTTGTTTCCACCGCCATGTCGTAAAGACGCTGTGTGCTTCGTTGTAAAAGCGAAACTACTTTGTTTGGTCTTCCAAAAAAGGATGATATCTGCTTCATCATGCCTGGAGCTGATCCGTGCTGGTTGCTGAGGAAATACTACAACTTTGCGCTGTCAATCGCTGGATCGGCTTTCACCGTGGACGAAGCAGAGTCCAGCCCGGAATCGTCACATGTCCTTCCAGAAGCTCCTTCATCGAAATCGCCGGCTGCGCCATTCTCAAGCCCACGCCTCTGCTCACTCTAACCTTCCCGCCATTCCTCACTTTATCCCCCGTCCTCTGCTCACTGTAGGCTGCGGTATGTGACGCTGTTTCATTGTGAAAGCGAAACTACTTTGTTTGGCCTTCCAAAAATGGACATGACTAGAAATCAGTGGTTAAGTTGTATTTACAACACTGTTTCAGAACACTTCAACCCAAATATTCGGATGTGTGCAGCACATTTTATGGAGGACTGTTTCCTGGAAGAGTAGACTACAATGCCAGCTGTTCTGACTGTAAGTACATCTTTTATATTTAAAGAGTTCTTATATTTTATATATTTAAAGCAAGTTTTTTTGGGCAGTGTAGAGTAGTGTTTGTTGTTTGTCATTTCTCCGATCACAAACGCAGGCATGGTTTTATGCAATGCAACGTGTATAAAGACAGTATAAGTCATTATAATCCATAATTATGTCCCCACTGGATGCAACGAATGCCTCGTTTATAATGGGTTTTCATGTTTTTGAATCATCGCTCAGGCCTGACAGGGCATCATCACAATATGGCAAGGGGCGTAACATTTCCGTCACACGCTTGAGGTATTCGGCCAATCACAACGCACTGGATAGCTGGCCAATCACAACACACCTGGCTTTTTCAGACAGATGAGCTTTGTAAAAATCGATGCGTTTCAGAAGGCGGGGCATAGAGGAGAAACAATAATGTACAGTATGTGGAAAATAATGTGTTTTTTTAACCTTAAACCACATAAACACATTTCATTACACCAAATACACAAAATACTGTTCTTTTTAGCAGCATCGTATGACCCCTTTAACAATTATGTCCGAATGTTTAGCCAAAGATAGTGTGTGGAAAGTATTAGATAAAAATTTAATAGGAAGTGATAATTTTCCTCTTTACTGTAAAATAGGATTAGAACAGTGATAGTGAGAGGTATATCTGTGAGAGGTATTCACTCGATAAGCTCGCGCATGTGCGCCGCCGCGCGCTCAATCCACTCAGCGTGATTTGTTTATCAGCTCGCGCACGTCAGCTATACAGTCAATACTGAATGTTCAACATTATATTCATTGCATACATATACTTCGTAGACATCCTTAATCTCTAATAACTCCATTCTGCTGTCTGTTGTTGGTGTTTCATTGTCTGAATATGGTTATTAATTTCAATTTTTACAAATTTATACAGATGGTTCTAAAGACCCAGAAACTGGGCGTACAAGTGCTTCCATGTATATTCCTCACTTTAAATATAAATCTGCAAAAAAAACTTCTAATAATATATCGGTTTATGCAGCAGAGATGATCGCTATTCAGATAGCTTTACAGTGGGTGGAAGAAATCCAACCAACAACAGTGGTAATCTGTTCAGATTCATATTCTGCACTCACAAGTTTACTGAGTGGAAAATCAGAATCTAGACAAGATATTTTATTAGAAGTACTGCAAAGTTTGCACTGAATACAGAATCTGAGAATTATAGCAGAATTTGTATGGGTGCCTGCTCATGTTGGAGTGGAAGGAAATGAAGAAGTAGACAAGATAGTGAAACAGGCTCTTAAGCACACAAATATTGACATACATATACCCATGAGTAAATCAAAAATTAAAGGTTTAATTAAAGTAGCTGTCAGAAAGATATGGCAAGAGAGACGGGATAAAGGTAACAAAGGGCGACATTTGTATAATATAAATAAACAAGTAGGACACATAAGAACTGCTTATGGTAATAGAAGGGATGATACAGTTATATCGCAATTGAGAATTGGACACTCTACTCTTAATAAATCACTCCAGATGATAGGAAGACACGAATCTGGTCAATTTAATCATTGTGGACTAACTGTAGGGCAGGGTGCAAACTACGGGGGAGCTAGGGAGAGCTCGGCTCCCCTTAATAAGACATGGGCTCCCCTGAAAACGGGATTTGTGAAATTTTGGGGGTCTCAAAAAATATTGACAATGTGTTATTTTGACGTGCAATTTCAGTTTTGTGTAATGTGATCATCGTGGATTATTATGTGTAAAATTGCAAAAATATAATTAATTCATGCATGACGGCGATTTAAACCTAATTCACTTCAATAAAGATAACTATACATGCTATTCTTGTCATGAGCATCAAGGTGTGGGGGGCGCTGCGGTGCAAATTCCACTCATGTTTAGTACGTTAACTCTAACTTCTAAGATTCATAGAAAAAATATAAACGCTGGACTCTGTGGTCGATTCTGTGTTAAGGTAAGGCATGTTATTCGCAATTATGTGTTGTGGCTGGGGTGTTATAGGTCTGCGTGACTCTCGATGTCTTAGGCCTAATTGAATGTAGGAATTATGGTATTCTTCTGTAGCCTGACGACGAGTTACTTTTAACGTTGTTTAGGGCTGCGTCTCAAAAAATATTGACAATGTGTTATTTTGACGTGCAATTTCAGTTTTGTGTAATGTGATCATCGTGGATTATTATGTGTAAAATTGCAAAAATATAATTAATTCATGCATGACGGCGATTTAAACCTAATTCACTTCAATAAAGATAACTATACATGCTATTCTTGTCATGAGCATCAAGGTGTGGGGGGCGCTGCGGTGCAAATTCCACTCATGTTTAGTACGTTAACTCTAACTTCTAAGATTCATAGAAAAAATATAAACGCTGGACTCTGTGGTCGATTCTGTGTTAAGGTAAGGCATGTTATTCGCAATTATGTGTTGTGGCTGGGTTGTTATAGGTCTGCGTGACTCTCGATGTCTTAGGCCTAATTGAATGTAGGAATTATGGTATTCTTCTGTAGCCTGACGACGAGTAACTTTAACCGTTGTTTAGGGCTGCACGATAAATCGCATGTGATATTTAACGCGCATCTTGTCAGAATAGCCGGTTCCCATTCATAAACAACTGCCTCATTCTTGATGAATCAGCCGTTTGAACGAATCGTTTGAATGAATGACTCAATGGCTCACTTAATAAGACCACTTATCACCTGCCGCCACCTACTGGCGGTTTAGTTTGTTTAAAGTGTCATTCTTTCCAAATAGGCATATTTAAATATGTAAAAGCTGATTGAACTCTGATGAGAATATTGCTTCATAATCAATTATATACAACACAATTGTCACAATGTCAAGCCCTGACACATTTTATTTATGTATTCATTGTTACAGCCTATATCTTTGTTACATTTAGTTTTTTAAAAGGCAGGGACTTTATAAAATAGTCAAATATAAGCAACTCACCACTCCAACAAGTTTAAACAAATAATAATAAAAAATAATGGAAAATAATAGAAAATTAGGTCTACTCAAAGTGCTATTTTCTGTTGTATATAACCATATCATATGTTTTATTTCATTTTTCACAATGTCTAGACAAGGACCTGCTTAAAATAAAATAGGCTTAGCTTACTCATCACATTAGTAAAGCGTTAGGCGACGTTGTGCGACAGAGTGGAATCTTCTTAAAACAATGTCCTTCCACTCCTCCCGGAACTTTTTGGTTAGGTCCTTTTCAAATGCCAACTTAATTAAATTGGCCTTGCGTTGATGAAGCATGCTAAGGCGATGCTCTGTAAGGACGTTCTTTAATGTGGAAAAAGAGTTCTCACAGAGTGCCGTGCTTGCACCAAAGGTCAAAGCATGTTTGAGCGACATCATCACGCTT